AGTCCCGCTCAGTCGAAACCAAATGATTGCTTATATAGTAAGAGCAGGTTACAACCTACTATATCTGACCTTTGAATTGCATTGAGTTATTGCACTGAATGTGTCCCCCCGCTTTGGTTCGATCGAACACCCGGAAATTACTATAAACGGAAAAAAAGCAAAGCAGAATCATTTTTAGGCCGAGATCGACATCGGTAACTCAAACTTCCTACGCTGAAATCAAGTTTGGTTGGCTTTGCGCTAATGGCAGTAGTTGGCTGCACCTTACTCTGCAAGCCCTTAAAAGAAGTGAATAGAAGAATTAGGTCTTCTGGCGTTCGTGTTCCCTCTAAAATAGTAGAAAATGCTTATTAAGTCGTATAACGTTTCAATGTTTGCATACGTAGACGAAATAAAAAATGTTCATAAAGATATGGAACTTTTGCTTGAAATGTTTCGGATTTCTACTCGCGACAATGAAGACTGCATCTTTGCAGTTCATTAAGCACAATACCCTTTACAATCTATTGTAAGATCACTGTTTCCGGGAGAATTCCTGTCGATATAATGAAATCGATGTTACTGTGCTAGAACCTACGCATCTTTATAATACTTTATGTATACTCTTACAATTGAGCCAGTACCGCTTTTCATTAAGTAGGTAGAGTTTTACTATTCCCGTACAATAAATGAACGATGATAAACTTAGACCTGCATACGAAGATACTGACTGCATGAATCATTCCTTACATGCTTTTTAGTGACGATCTTTTAATCCAGAAAGAGAAAAAGCGACCTACACCTTAATAACTTTCATTTAAAATTGGGGTTTCTCGCTTTATGGGCTATATTAACCCCAGACTGAAAGAATACTCCCTTTCATGGTTCCGAGTCTGAAAAAAGTTCTTCTGCTTACTTACACAAAAAGCTAAGTCAGAACAGACATGAAATTTTATCTACGCCTATAAACCACTGACTGGTTCCTCAAGCACAATGATCCCAGTCCTATTGTTTCGAAACTCACACCTATAGGAGTTAAACTATGGCTATATTAAAAGCAGCCAGTTGTAGTGCGCCGTAAGCCGTTGGAGTTAAAGCAATACAAATAAGTAACAGAGACTGGGTCTACGTCTCTCCTCCTCACCATGATGTAAATTACGCAAGACACTATAAAAGCATCAGTTTTTTGTGATTACTGTGTCCTCTCAATAGCCCAAGAGCAACGTGACAGTTCTGTTTGTCTCTGAGGTTACTTCGACGAATAAAAAAAATTTTATAAGGATACTACGCCTTACTTTAAAATAAGCAAAGATTCCTTTTTACTCAAATTATTCAGGCCCGTTCTCTGCCCACACTTAGAAGTCGCGTAAATAGAACTATCAGAAATAATTCATATTTGCAGATTTTCTTTCTAGGTCTTAACATCAGTGGTTACCTTCATGTTTGGACCCATCAGTCTGGCTTTCTGTGGTCATCTTGGAAAAACGAATTTGGCTGCCGTTGGCCTAGCCATCTCGGTGTTTAATGTCACTGGATTGGCAATAATAACAGGACTCTTGACAGCTTGCGACACCCTTTTCTCCCAGGTATATCGTTATTTTCAATGAAATGATGAATTATCAGCAATGTTCCACTTTATACTCCTTTCCATGAAGAAGAATTTTGCTACTGTGTGCATAGTTATTAATGTGGTCTTGGGAGGGTTTAATGCATGGGCCTCTTTCACATGTTTAGGACGGAAGTTCCTTTTTTTATCTTAGTAGCGAATCTACTCTTGAATAATCATGTCAATTAACCCTCCTTATTGTTTTTCTCGTACACGATAAAATGCGAAGGATATTTAGTCTCAACAGGATGTATCTCAATAGAACATAAAAATGCAGTCCATTTTATCGTAGCACGCAGTCGCCATTCATAGAGAGTGGCTGCCTATATTGCGATGATTGCTTGAGGGCCAGCAGTTGAGTTGTTTATCGTTCGAATTGGATGATAATCTAACAACCGCTCGAATATCTGACGCACCAACATTGGCTTTGGAAACAGTCTTTGATTGCATGCTCACTGACTGGCCAATAACCTTTGTCAAATTTGGTGTCATCACCAATAATGCAGTTGGAGTGATGAGTATTGTATTTATAAATAAAACGATGTCGGTGAACATTGAATCAAATAATTCGCAGTCCGTGCGAATATCACCTCTCGCAATAATTTTGGCCGCGTCACTCTTGAATGTGTGGGTACCTACACAAACAATTTTCATTGATATTCGGTGGGATAAAGACTGCATTCTGTAGATCCGGCAACTCCTTATGCATTAACTCCGCTGCCTCTGGCGATGGGCTGGAGACTGAGTCCAAAACACCAGACGAATAGAGTTCTTATTCTAGAGGTCGCGTCGACTTCACTGTTCTAACGGAGCATAACATAATAAAACGACGCTGTCCCGAGAAGGAGGTAGTTTTGTTATTTTATCAGTCGTCAAGACAGAAACGTTTTTAATTTTTTCAAATATAATGGACGAATACCCTACTAACAATGCGGTGTCCGCAAAACGACTATGATAGCATTATAATCGTCGTCTATTTTATACTTATGAACTTTGTATCGGTTTCAGTATAAAGGTCCTTCGAGAAATAAAAAGGCAACTAAAGTTATCTCGTGAATTAGAACGCAACTTCACGAGAGAACTCTCGATAATCTGCTTCGGGTTAACAGAACTATATTGTATTGTTTAAAAGATAATAGCAGGCAAATAGGCAATTCATTCCCTTTGGTAATTTCTATGTATTATCAAGGAAGAACGAGGACCCAACAGCCATCATCAGCTATCCTTCCATCGTGTGTAAAGGTTTATTATTAACGTTTTGAGCTCAACTTTTCGGAGTATTCGTCTTGGAAAGAATAAGGTATCAACATTGTGAAAGTGGAATAACGTTTTCATTTCCGAGCCTAAGGATGTAGAGCGATCACCTGGGACCAGAGTCCGACGGCGAGCCTATTTGAAGATGATCCGGCAGGTTCAGTGAATAAGATGTTATTTGATGGCACAAAGCATATGCCATGCTTTATTTTTAAGATTGACGTTGTTAAACTATTTCCGTTTTAAGCTGTTGACCCGGCAGAATATTCAGAATATTGCTGAAGCTCACGAAACCGTTTCAAAACCGTTTCTTAACAGTAGCTTGTGTTTATTTAAACGAAGGATGGAACTATTTGTACAATTAACTTTTTTTAGTTTTTATTAATATTATGTAATTCTTTTTGCTTACTCTTATATTTTTCCCCAAACAAGACTTTTGGTGGAGAGGACAAGTTCAAAATGGGAGTTCAGTTACAGAGGGGTATGTTATTTTAACCTAATCTTTTCATCGACGTTGAATTTGTGGTCATTTGAGCTAAATTTGTATGCTAAGGTGCCTCCAAAATCAAGTCTATTTTTCATAGTTAGTTAACATTTCAATATTCAGAATAAATTAAGCTATGAATGTATGTGCCTCGCCAATCTAGTAAACCAACAATTAAGTTCCGCTTCGCCCAGCAGCCCGCAACGCAAACCCGCCAGATCGTTGCATAGTGACTAAGATGATACGATGACCAGTTTTATTAATTTTTCCCCTGCCGTTTGGAAAAATTACTACTTAGGTGGAAGAATTACTCTTTCTGCTTGAAGTTCGATTATTACTATCATTTGGAACACGATACACGAACACGCGCGCCTTAAGTTATTGAGAACACATGCAATAGAAATTCTCAGGGAACCCCGCTGAAAAAAAGAGTGACTTCCGTTCCAACCGGTTTAGCACATGTATATGACAGTCCGAGATCCCAATTTGCCCTTTTTCTGGCGCAAATAAGATCAAATGGCATCAACTTCCAAGCAAGAGGCATTGGTTCGGTTACTGCCTGCGTTCATCATGATCGGAGCCACATTACCCTTTCTTATGCAGCGCCAACCTCTTAACAAGCAGCCACTGCGGTTATGCATAAGCCATTTTGCTTGTCATTTAACTGGCCACCTGGTCGAAGCCCCCGTCTATTCGAAGACGCTGGATGCCAGTCAAATCGTAGGTGCACCCAAGCGCTGACAGAATTTTCAATTCAAAGAATAAGTTTAAAAGATAGCGTTAGTTTACTACCTGCAAAGAATAGATACAGCTATAAGTTCCTCCCCTGTAATACAGGTGGTCTTGCGTCAACTTCCCGGTGTCCACCCATTTCTGTGTTCTATGTTTAACCCTAACCCAAACCCTAATATTAAATCTCCTAACCGTAACCCTAGCACTAACCTCCCTATAATTGGGGCAAGGCAATTCATAATACGAGGAGGACTTACCATGAAAAAAAATCCTGCAGACAAGCTTAGGAGCTGACAGTTATGGTTTGGCGGCTATAACGTGGATGCAGTTATAGCATACCGGTTACCCTCGAATGGGCTGCAACGTTTGCTGCTCTGGACATATTCGGGCGCCAAACTGTCTCAGTATATCCATTTGCGAGAACCTTAAACTATTGTCATGCATGCACGTGATACGTTTTCGGTTGAGGCAGACACGATGCCAGACAAAATGTCACAACCCATCAGTGGTTGTTGGCGAGACGTCTGTAGGTTGGTTGCGTATGAGAGGGCGAAAAAAGAGGGTTAGTACTGGGAAATTCGTCCTCAAACAAACTCAGCACATTCTCCATTAAGATAAACAACAACGTGGCAAGCGGCATCGTGCTAGTTGACGGGATACGTCGATCCTTCCATGTTCTTATTGTGTCCGTTATCACAGTCTCACATGCGTGGCCGCAAAGGCACGGGCTAAATGCGGAGTCATGGGTGGGG